GATCTATATTTTTTTCCCTTTTTTTTTAATAACCAAACTGCGGCCTCTTTTTTTTTTTTGGGCCAAAATCAGGAAAGAAATCACAAAACCAGGGTGCTTAATCACCTAGTTGCTTGGTGTTTTTTCTCGCGTGAAGATTAAACAAAATTTAACCAAGCAAGCACCTCAAATTTTGGAAACCAAACAAGCACCTCTATTTATTTTTTTCTTCTCCCCTACGGCCGAACCAACAAAACCAACAAACAGCACCTATTTATTTTGATTTTTTTTCGTACCGAAACTCAAAAACAAACGGCCAAACAGAATACTTTTTTTCTTCTTCTCGGCCGAACACCAAAACAACCAAATTGAACCAATTTTTTTTTCTCTAAACAAACAACTATGGCCGAATCACAAGAAAGCAAAACATGCGAAATTTTAATGAAAAAGACACAAGAAAAAAAAGAAAGATAATTAATAAAAAATGAGCCTTCATTAATTAGATCTAAACATACAAGAAATCAATGAACCGAAAGCTCTGAGACTAAATGGATATGAAAATTACCTATGAACGCGGAAGCAAATCCCAAGACTTGATTTCTTGCACCAACACCAACCTCAACACATGACCAAAAGGGAAGAATCGGACCACAAAAATCCGAAACAAAAAGAATATGATGGAAAGAAAGAAAAGACACGTCATTGACAGCCACTACACCGTTGATTATGGCCAGGATCATGTCCAGTTCCTTGATTCACAAAGAACCCTAGTTCAACTCTAAGTGGATAGTGATTCTGGTAATTAATTAGTTATTCTTAATCTCATCTCCTTATTGTGTCGTCGTTTCCCAAAATGCTTCGCCGTTTGATTATATAACAAGTGATTAATTAATTAATTGCTTCACTGTTTGATGATACTAAAATAATCACATGATACATGTATTTTCGTAGGAGCGGAGTTCAGTTCCAAGGTCAAATATGAATCGGGCTTAGTCGGGATATGGATCAAGTTTCCGCCCGGCAATTCGGCTGGAGTTGTTACGGCTTTCAACGTAAGCTTTAATATAGTACAAGCGTGACAACATGAACGGACCCGGGTCGTAATTAATTAAAATATTATTTTAAATATAAAACCTTATTTATATTTGTTGATATGTAATAATAATTCATTTTACAGCTGCGTTCTGAAGAGAAAGAATTTGACGGGATCAACTTGGAGTTTTTGGGCAGCGAAATAGGCCAAAACTTTTCAATTCAGACTAATGTATTCGTCAACGGGGTCGGAAATAAAGAATATGAAATAGCTCTAACTTTCGACGCGTCGGAGGAATTTCATCAATACAGCATTCATACAATTTCTTCCGTACGTTATTATTATGATTTTTCCTTAATCGAAACTGAAAACCGGCCGATTCACAGGACGTATGTTGACGACATTGCGTTCCGGATTTTCAAGAACAACAGTGCAATCGGAGTGGGATACCCATCAAAGCCGATGAAGATATTCGTCAGCGTATCCAACGGCAGCGATGATCTGATTAGGTCTGACAGCGGCCGGAGTCGAACCAAGATTGATTGGCGGGACGCGCCATTGGCCGCGCAATTCAAGAGCTTCGATTATGACGTGGATCAGGGACGTATTATTAATTCAACAACAACAACAAATCACAAGGAAGAAAGAGGAGATTGCGGATCCACGAGAAAAAAAGGGTGGGACACAATTCGGGACTTGTGGCTTAATTGACTGATACGAAGCAATGAGACACCTTATTACTTATGGTTATTGCAATGATACCAAAAATACACCCACTTCCTCCCCCCGAATGCAAAAGCAATAGTAAGTATCTGTAATCAATTTTCCATCAACCATGGTCAATTATTGATCCCATGAACCATAAAGGAGCATGTTTTTATGTTATTATTATGCTCAAAACCGATGTATACTTTGGTTTTGATGAAAGGAGAAATGGACAAGGCCATTTTAATTCTACGTGTTGAACTACTTTTTACTTCTTTTCGACTCGTTAGGTTTGTGCCCAATTAATTAACGGACAGTACGTGGAATGCTACATCAAAACAAAATATATACCAAAAATAATACGTGGAATCTTTATCCCAAAACAAAATATAAATACTACTTGGAATATTGTTCGTGAAGGATGTATTTCGGACCCAAACAATCATTTTACTAGATTTTGAAACGATTTTTTTTGGGGGGTTTTGTTTAATTAAGAAAACTAATTCATAAAGTTGTCCGTAGAGAAGTGTACCCGAATAACAAAACATAAAAATAAAATATGATAATCTTAAACATATTTTTCCCCCTTCTTTGCATTTCCAAAGGAAATAGTATTGAATTGATATCACTTATTCGATCCTATATAATTTTTTAGGCATTTTCTTAAATTTCACATTGTTTTGGTAAATTTAATAAGTGCCAAAAAAAATTTTAGCATCCAAAACAAATTTAAAGTAAAAAAACATAATTATCCACCTTAAATTATCATGTAGTTTTCATCTTCCTCACCTCTAGCAGCCCCCTCCTCAAAATTGAAAGTCCTCCGTATTGAGAATGCCAGTCCCACATTGGTATTGGGAAAGACTGAATATCAATATAAAAATACATAGACTACTCTCTTCATTGCCAATTGGTTTTGAGGTGGAACCCAATGAGCTTCTGTATGGTATTAGAGCCAGCCTGCCGATATTTGAACTCAAAAAAAACCCAACAAAAAAATAGGGCTGAGACGTTGGGTTGAAAAAAATAGGACAAGCCCAACTCCAAAAAATACACTGGGCTTGGGGGGGGAGCATTGAGAATCCCAGTCCCACATTGGTGTTGGGAGAGACTGAATATCAATATAAAAGTACATAGGTCACTCTTCTCATTACCAATTGGTTTTGAGGTGGAACCCCATGGGCTTTTGTACCCCGCCCCTCAACCCCAGAAGGAAAAACCATTAAGGTCTTGTATGGATGATCGTTTATTTTACTTTTTGGTTTAATTTTTTGTTTGAGTTTGAGATGTGATTCAAAATGTATTTAGAGAGAAAATTTAAAAAGTTTTTAGGATAGTATTTCAATTGAAATAATAATATTTTTTTACCACCACCGGACCACCTCCACCACCCACCTTCGCCACCGAGCCGCTCTCCGCCGCCACTGGACCATCGCCGGCCCGCGGCCGACTGGCCGGATTCCGGCCAATTTTCGGACATCACCGCCGGCCCCCAACCGGCCGGCCGGATTCCGGCACTGGCCGTTTATAGATGGCCATTAAAAAGAATCACTCTTTATATAAAATATGTTGAAACGAAAAATTAAAAAGTATGGAAAAAATATAAAATACTTTTATTTATTTATTTAATTTTTTAATTTTTTTTCCTCTTTTTTAAAAGAGCATTAATAGTGATTTCCTATTTGCCCCCTATGTGACTCAAAGCCGTGACCTATTGGTCAAAGGTGAGATGTCTTACCATGAACGGCTGGCGCAAATGTCCTTTGCCACAGTTTTTTTTAAAAAAATAATAATAATAAAGTCAAAATGGTCAAAATATAATTTTTTAGAGCACTCATAGGAAAAAATTAAGGCGCTCAACAGTTTCTCAGTAAAAATATATTTATAATTTTCAGTTATTAAAGTTTAAAAGTTAAACTAATTGATATCAATCGCAATTTTTTGCCAATATTATCGCGGTTGGTTGAACTTCAAGCCCAGCAACAGCCGAACTCATTCACAAATTATTTGCCTTTTTTTCATAGAGATACAATTGCTACAAGCCTACAATAGAGGTAGTAAAAATATCTATAAATTGATATAGTTAGGACAACAAAAAATTATTAATTTATAGATATATTAATTTATCGATTAATAATTATTAATTTATTGATAAATTAATAATTAGTTAATAAAATCTTTGGAGACATTATAGGTTATAGTAACTGCCACTAAAACTTTCACCTAGTCTGAGAATGATGATAATTTAGTATTCTTGAAACCAATTACACGAAATGAAGCATTTAGTGGGTCAATAACTTTTCAATTTTTTTTGTTACAATATGAAAAACCTACACTAGAGCTTTTGAAAGCAATGGAAAAAATTAAAGATATCTTTTTAGATATAAATTTCAAGACAAAAAATTACATTTCTGAATTTTTTTTCTTTATATTTTAAGTCATTATTAATTTATGATATTTACGGGGCCTATATATATAAGATTTTTCTAAAAAAATATTATTTCATTATTTTATCAATTGTCTTTGTTTTTTGTACTGGTTTCGACTTCGGACCAGAAAAAATTATTAATTTATCGGTGTTATTAATTTACTGATTATTAATTTATAGATGTTCAACTGTACAAGTAAGATGTTATATGTTGTGATTCATTGAGCTAATTTGGCTAGATTAATTTATTTTAACTTGAATACCAGACTTCATTATAGCAATACCCTCAAGTTAGATTCTTATCAAACAAAATTTAGTGTTTCGAAGTTATTGACCCGTATAGATTTTTCATTTTTAGTATAAATTGAACTCAAAGTGAAAATATCAAAAATTAAACGGTAATTTTAAGATAAAAAAAGTAATATTATTTCATTTCTATTAATAGCTTACTTTTCTGTTTGCACTCTCTAGATCTTTTCGGCTTCCATATGCTTATATTGCTTAGTCATAGATTAGAAAAATAAGAATAAAAATTATCACTTCCATGATTAGACCATTTGCTCATCAAGGCATCAACGTATCCTTCGGGGCAAGACATGGGGAAGAGGGAAAGAAAATATCTACAATGAAGCAAGTAGCGAAAAAAATTGTAAACAAATATGGTTAATTCTATGACTAGCTAATAGCTTCGATCGACCATATATGTGTTTCTCTACAAATAAACTGACAATATATATGCGTATCGCATAAACCATCTTTTACTTCTCTTCAAGAAAACCCATACTGCCAAACCCTACTACAGATCAGTATATATTACATAATCCAAAGCTTTGGTTTTTTAAATTCAAAACAAAGATGTCTAGTGAATTGATGTTCATTGGGACAGTACTAACTGCACTTGTCGCATGTCATAGCGTGATTTGTTCTGCTGCCAAGGATGTTTCCTTTGATGAAAACTACGCTGTCATCAACGGCTATGATCAGGTTAAGTTCCTCAACCAAGAGAAATCCGAACTTCAGCTTTCACTGGATCGAAATTCTGGTAATTCAATTTTTTTTTTTGTTTTATTCAATTTGATTTGTTTTAACAAATTAAATATGATGGTGACGTTTAATTTATGCAGTATATGTATAAATCTGAATTCGCATAGTTAGTTGAAATACTTTGCTAATTGCTATTTCCTTAACTTCTAATTATAAGCATAGATTTGAACTAACTTTAAAATAAATTTTATCTTATACTACATCCGTCCCAAAAAAATAGTTCAGATTGAGTTTTTTATTTTTTACTGTTTTTAGTATAAATTCCAAAACTCAAAGTAGACTATTTTTTTGAGACGGAGGGAGTAATAACATGGAAGAAAATAATTTTATTGATCCATTTGATACCAATGACTGTTCTGCATGCACTGCTACTCAGATCAAGCCCCGCTAGTGGAAGATAACTGTATTAATTATGATCTTCCTTCGGTCCGAAGAAACGAGAGCATTCTTTTTTTTTTTTCTGGGTATTAAAACAGTTTTTTTATTTTTTATTTTTTTGTATTAAAACAGTTTAACAAATAACATTGTTACAGGGAATATTTACTATATATGGCTATCTTGGTTTTTTAGAAACACAAAAATATTTTTGATGTTGTTGTAGTACGAATTTTAATAATGATAATGATATATAGGTGCTGGCTTTGGTTCCAAGGTGAAGTATGGATCTGGGTTCTTTCAGATAAGCCTAAAGCTCCCACCCAATGATTCTGCGGGAGTTGTTACCACTTTCTATGTGAGTCACTAATCTTCGTTTACATTAAACAATATTAAATGGATCAATATTCCTAAATATAGTGACTTTATTTTTCGTTTTCGTGTGTGTGATTTTTGGGGACGAATTCACAGCTACATTCAGGAACGGATTCACATGATGAGTTGGACATGGAGTTTCTGGGCAACAGAGAAGGCAAACCTATCGTATTACAGACCAATGTGTTTGCCAATGGAGTTGGAAATCGAGAACAAAAGATAACTTTATGGTTCGACCCGACCGCAAATTATCACACCTACAGAATTCTTTGGAACCCCCATCAAATTGTGTAAGATTCAGTTTATATAGTTTCTTTTTTTTTCACTCCATAAATTAACAGAAAATTTCACTTGGATGCCATGGATTGATTTGCATTCATATACTTTCTTGATCACCAAACAAAAGTTATACTACTATTCTCGCAGTCTTAATACAATATCACTGTTTAAATTAGAATAGATTAACCATAACTCTCTTTTATTTTGGTAATGACTAATGAGTACTTTTTTTTTTCATTACATTTTCTTCTACTTAATTATGTATACGATTCTTTTCTTTTATATAGCGTATTACTACATATTACGAATGAAAGTATTCTTTGAAAAAGACAATAATAAAAGTGTGGGCTAAGAGACGAGGGTTTTCTTTCTTTCTTTCTCTTTTTTTATTTTTTTTGTTTTGGGACACTCTTTTCTATTCTAAGAGAATGAAGAATAAATGTACTAATCAACCGTGACAAGTTTACATAATATCGACGTATACGATACTCCCTCCATTCCAAAATAAGTGTCATCCTACACTTTGCACATAGTTTAAGAAACTCTTAAATAGGGTAATAAAATTACTTGAATATCCTCAACCAACCCCATTATAAAATTGTCCACCAATAGCATCAACTCTTTTGAGGGTAATTTTGGAAACTTTTGACAAAAAGTGCATTGAAATGTGAGAACGACACTTATTTTGGAATTTCTCCATTTTGTTAAAACGACACTTATTTTGGAATGGAGGGAGTACGAGTTTTTTGGGGTTACTATCACAAACAAAATCCTTTCCAACTATTATATTTTTGTGTGTGTTCTTTGCAGGTTCTTCGTTGATCATATTCCCATTAGAGTTTACAAGAACAACACAGGGATTGGGGTGGGTTACCCGACCCAACCAATGCAAGTATTGGCAAGCGTATGGGACGGAGATGATTGGGCTACGGATGGTGGCAAGCTTAAGGTCGATTGGTCTCACGCGCCATTCACAGCTAAATACAAAGGATTCAAAGTCTATGGTTGCGGATCAACGACCAATGTTGTGGAGGGATGTTTCTCATTGAACTCAACAACATACTGGTGGAACCGAATGAAGTTCTGGAAGTTAGAGGGAGTTTACGAGAAATATTACCAGAATGTGATGAAGAAGCATATCACCTACAATTATTGCACAGATAAAATCAGATATCCTGTTCCTCCTCCAGAGTGCTCTACCAATGTATAGGTGGTCCGTGGATTAGTTATGTAGTGTAAGATGCATTAACTTAGTATATCTATTGAGTATGCTTGGGAAGTTGAATCTTTTAACAGATTTTATAGTATTGAGAAGAAGGAAATAACATAGGGGAAAAAAAAAAGAAAAAAGGAGAGAGAGTATTTATTAACTTTCATTTCAATGATGCTGTTATGGCTAACTAATGTACCGTGCATAATCAAATTGATGTTGATGATATTTCAAAATTAAACAGAAAGCATTCTTTCTGCTGGAGAAAAAACGAGTCCACCTTTTTTCGTGGATTATTTACTTTGAGTTTTCAGGGCGAAAGGGAATTGTCAATGAAACCCCCCCGGGGGCTGAAAACCATTGGACTTATTATGTATGTACGTCAAATTTTCCAAAATAGTTTTGTTTTTTTTTAAAAAAAAAAATCCACCCTGTAGGTAAAACCTCCCTTACAATCCTTGGTCGGAATCGAAGTCTAGTCTATTACCAGAAGGATAACAATTTAACCACTAGGCTATCATTTAATTCCCTAATTTTAAAATAGTTTTACACGAGATGGGAGTTACAAATGTATTAGCACTAAATTTATCACCAAGTAAAAAATTATAATTCTTGGATGTTTGTTATGTTACTCTATTTGCATCCTAATGTCCATGTCCAAGTCCTACGTATTGAAAAACCGTCGTTACATTAGTCAAATATTAATTACTTACTTAATACAATTATTAGTAGTAAAATAGCAAGCATGGTCGATCCCACAGAGAAGGATACTAAATACAAGGTTAAAATTATTTCTTATTATTATTTATATTAACAATTTATCAATTTTAAACTATTCTAAACCTAAAACTAACAATTACAATTATTTAAAGATATGGATAAGTAAAAGAAAAACCTAGGGCAAAGGGTTCACCAACCGACTATTCAGTTTAATTTAATCTATAGATATGTCACTTTTGACTCTCATTAGTCTCACGACAATTCACCAATTTAAGAATTATATACTCTCGTGTCATAACCCTCTTATTTAAACTAACCCTATGACTACTCTTGTGACTATAGGGATTAATAAAAGCACATTAAGAACTTTGGAAGTACTAGTCGCAAAGGCGGTATTCCTACTCTCATGGCACACTACCTAAGTTTATTATTCCTACAAACTAATACTAGCCTTCCACTCTCGTTACTTCAGCTAGCACCTTAAAGCATGTAAATATTGATCAGGTATTCACATGGATGAAAAACAAAAATAATAAATATTAATTAATGAAAACATCACAATCATAAGTTAAATTAAATTAAATAGTACAGCGGCTACATCCAAAACCCTAGATTAAATAATTTAACTACACGTCATCTCAAAAATAAATAAAACAATGAAATCTGGGAGTCCGAAATTGCTTGCTTTCTCCTCCGATGATGATGCATTGGATTGATGCTTGAGTGATGTTAATGATGATGGAGGCGTGAGTTTAGAGGTTGATGGAGTTGGTTTTGGAGTTTTGTGTGTGAGAAGGCTGGTGGAATGAGGTGATGGAGTTGATTAAGGTGATGATGGGGGAGGTTGGCGTGAATGGAAGCAAGGTGGTGCGTGGGAGTGGAGGAAAAGTGGTGGTCGGCGGAGGTAGAGGAAAGGTGATGGGATGGTCAAGTTCTATCTAAAAACAAAACCCTAATCCTCATTTTATAGGCTTTCTTCAAATTCTATTTCTTGAGTAATAAGAAAGTTATTTTTTTTTCAAGCAAATTTAAATTAAAACTCCTCCAATTCTACAAGTGCTTCAATTTCTTCCTTGTCAATTTAGTAAATCTTCAATTCTTCGTTTGAGTTGCTTTTTCTTTTCAATTTAGTCCAAAATCTCAACAATTCTTCCATTTGAGCACAAAACCTACAAATAAAAATAAAATCATATAAATAGCATATTTGTACTCAAAATATGTTGCAAAAATCCAAAATTAGGGATACAATAAATAGATAAAAGATAAGCATATCACCTATCGTACAAATTAAGGCGCATGACTGTTGTGGCAATGAAATAAAGAAATCGTGCTCGCTCTATTCGCCTGTTTAATGAACGGCGCATCTCATCTCCTTCATGGCTTCATTTATGTGTAGTTTAATTGCAAATTATGTGTACGGCTTCTGACACATCAAGATTACATTTTCTTCTTCATCTTGGGTACGGACTACGGATGAGACTGACTAAATGGCCAGAGAGTTTATCTTACTTTGAAAGTGGCATAATATCACCATGATTAATATTTTTGTATTTTGGCTATACCTCTATTATATAGTGTGCATTTCATTGTGTTTTTACCACCGGAATACAAATAGTACACAACATCAAGCATAACTATAAAGATTTTGATATGTGGCATTGAATTATAGAGTGAGGAAAGGCACAAGATTCAGTTCCAAGGTCCATTTCAAAAAAAAAAAAAAAAGTTCCAAGGTCAAATATATATGGATCGGGGTTCTTCAACATGTGGATCAAGCTCCGCGCGGGCGATTCTGCTGGAGTTGTTACCGCTTTCTACGTAAGCTTAATTTCATGCAAGCAAACTTATCCGAGTAATCAAGGATCGCAATCTTCTTTTCTTTTTTCTTGGAATTTTTTATGGGTTAATTATTACTAGTATTTAATAAAAACATGTGCTTCTATCTAATTGTTGATTTTCTAATATCCAGCGGCGTTCCGGAGACCATGCCCTAGATAAGGTGGATTTTGAGTTTTTGGGAAACAGGCCAGGCGAAAATATTTCAATTCAGGCTAATGTTTTCGCCAATGGACATGGAAATAGAGAACAAAAATTGGTTCTTCCCTTTGATCCCACCGCGGATTACCGTGACTACAAAATTATTTGGAACCCGCACATCATAATGTAAGCTTAATTATTTCCAAAGTAAAAATTATTCTGTGTCCGATTTATATTTTTATTTTTAGTATAATTTATACTAAAAGTAAAATCATAAACTTGACAATTATTTCAAAACGGAGAGAGTATTATTTTCAAATGCTATAATTAATTTATCTTTATTTTGACTATACTGCAGAACTGCGTATTAATTAGGATGTACATTGACGGCGTACCAATCAGAATGTTCAAGAACAATACGGCAATCGAAGTTGACTACACATCAAAGGCGATGCAGATATTAGCAAGCATTTGGAACCAAGATTATTGGGCTACGAATGGAGGCAGAACCAAGATCGATTGGTCTCACGCTCCATTCTCAGCCCAATTCAGGAGGTTCGACGTTGACGGGTGTAGTTCTTCTTCAACCCAGGATCAGGATTGCGCCTCCACGAAATATTGGTGGAATGGTAATAAGTTTTGGGAGTTGGAAGAAGGTTCACCAAAGCTTTGGTACAAAGCACTGAGGACTCTTATTACTTATGTCAAATGGGAATCTTATTAGTTATGATTATTAATAATATTTCCTCAACTTGCTAATGCTCTGTCGACTTCATGTTGGCCGACGCAACGCTTGATAGACCCCCATGCTTGCTGTCGACTTTCTGTCGCTCGACGAACTGTCCAACGTATGGACAAAATTCAACACTTTCCAAGGTTAAATAAATTATCCTAGAAACATTGTCCACATTTTGGGATTTTTCTTGTGCTCGAATATCCACGATCAATGATTTTAGCATGGTGATCGCGTAGTTCTGCCCACTTGAATTAAGCACGCATAACTTTGATTTCAATCTTACATCATCTTTGATATCAATACTTGCCAAATGAACCATTTTGAAGATATTCAAATAATGTATAACCATAATAATGTAGTGATTATGATGACTTAGAATAATCCTTAATGGCCTAGGGATTTTCACGTCAGAAATTCTGACCTCTCAAATCCATCTGATACTGGTCATATTGTTTATGTTCTAAACTAAACCTTTTTGGGGTGAACTCGAAAGCGAGCCTTTTTAAGAGAGATTCTTTTAGTTCGGGATGTAAGCGCGGTCAAGCGAAGGACAAAGTTGGTTATCGAAAAAAGTGGAGGAAAGAACAGATGTCTGGTCTTATTTTCTGTTAGCAAGTAACCATTTTGTAAGTTATCTTAGAACTGATTGATGAATGAGTTGTCGTGTAATCCAGGACTGTATGTTTTGGGATATATTTAGCCGCTAATATTCTTGAGAAAGAAAACGAGTGACTGAATTAATATGATTATTACTAAAGATTACAACATTGAAAAGGAAGTTATCGATACCAGAAAGGAACGATCAATGTTTATCGATACAGATCCTCTGTGCCACTTTTATGTGATACTATTTGTTGCACAATCCAATTAGTTTTTATAAATCATAGAATTTATTTTGATACATATACCATAAACTTATATTTTCATTTTTTCATTTCATTTTTTGTATCAATAGTTTATTTTACTAAAATCTGTCCAATTAACTTTTAAATAAAATTGTGCCATGTTTATCCGCGTTATTGAAAATAGTAAAGTAGTGTGCCGAAAGAGTTGTTTCAGTATGATAATTAAGTAGTTCACTAAATCATGTGCATCCCTCAATTGATAGGTTTTATGTATTATATTAGATGTATACAATGTCGGACTAAAAAAAATGAAGAGAAAAGAAAGACTAAAATTGCATACATCCGTTAAAGAGTAAAACGTTTGTTAACTATTTTTCTTTAAAAAAAAAAAGAAAAAAGAAAAAGAAGGTGGGCTATGAGAATGGAACATAGGATCGCTGGAACTAAATTCGGGTAAAAGGATTAAAGGACAACAGTTAACAATTTCAGCGCACTAAACTTTTTAAAAAATTGTGCTAGCTTATTACACAACTTTTGCGCGAAATCTAGCGCTCAAGATATAAAATAAAATTAAAAAAATTGTTAATATTAAAATTAGACCATTTTAATTTTTTCACTTTGTTATTCACCATACAAGCTCGATCATAAATCAATTTCTAAGTTTTTATTTTCAAAAAAAAAAAACCGAAGAAAAAAAATCTCGAATAAGTATAATTTCCGTTGTCAAGACACAGACAATATTATTTAGGAAGAGATGATTGTTTGTATTGAAGGTTAAACTGTTTGTCTACCAAGTCTGCCAATGAAATATTACTTGAAGATGTAGCAGTCGGGGATACTTCTGGTTAGGATGAAAAATGGTTTGCCTTTGTGACGAACAAAAAGAAAAGAATCAATTCTTTAAGGGGCAAAAGGATAAAGGGTCAAAGGATGGCATTGCTAAGAAGCATATTTACATTATGCCAATTCAAAACTCCTGACAAAGACCATGTTTTGAGCATATTCAGCCGTCTTTTTTTCTTTTGTTTTTTTTTTCTTATCTTTGGGTACAATTGTTAGATTCTTCCATACATGATCAATCCAATTTCGACTTGAGATGGGGGATTTATGGAAAGTTACCTTGGAGCGGGTATTGTATTTGTTATAACTTATTAGGCTGCTTTGTGATATTCATGGTAAGTGTAATATGAAATTCTGTTTGTACAAAATATTTCAATGGAACTCAAGCTGGCATCTGAAAGCCTTGTATTTGATTCTATAGTACCCTAGTGACATCTGGTGTGAAATGTTATAGATACCTCACTAATGAATTGAAAATGTACATTAGGCGGAGGGAGGGGGTGGCCAGCCGGTGCGGTCGCGCTAACTCTGTTTTTTAAAATTTTTTTAGGGGATTATATTTTTCCTATAGGAAATAAAAAATTTAATTTTGTACCCCCTTAAATTTTTTTTTTAAGACATACAGCAAGTTAAATTCTCTTATTGATAAATCCAAATGATATTTGGAACCAGTGTTGTGTTTAGTTTTCAATAAAAATATTTTTAAATAAAGAAAGTTTGGTAAAACACTTATGCCAAACTTTCTCTAGTGAAATGAAAAATTAAAAAAAAAATTCCAGTCAAAAACCAAACCAAAAAGTATACAAGTTTGGGCTAAGTACTGTACCTCCAAAACCGGTAACGGAAATATAAAACTTCAACCCCATTAAATATTTTTTATTGGACTTGAAAAATCTTCTTCTTTGTTTTTTTTTTTTAACTTAAGGGGTGTCGATTCGAGTTATCGAGTCCATTCGTGTTATGTATTCCATGTGATTAATAAATTTTTTTGGAGCAAAAATATTATGAAAATTCAAATCGAGTTAATCATGTCGTGTCGTGTCGGGTTGTCTCTGTAAATCGTGTCGTCGTGTCAGAAATTTACACCCGACAATAATCCCTTAACGAAGAACAGCGACAGGGAGTGGAGCTATGCAAAAGCTTCCCCAAACGACCAAACCACTCCAATTCATTCCAATTTGTCAAGATCCCAATCCCAATTATTCCAATTTATTTATTTAATTTTCTAGTATTAGAACCCTAAATTTAAAGATAGACATATTAGGTTTGTGATTTGAATTACAAATGAAAATCTAAATTAGACAATAATTATGAGATAGATGGAATAGTTTACTAAATGGGGATCCCTCAGTTGATAGGTTTTATGTACTATATTAGATGTATACAGTGTAGGATTAAAAAAATCAAGAGAAAGGAATCGACTAAAATTGCATATATACATGTTAAAAAGTAAAGTGTTTGCTAGCTTTTTTTTTTAAAAAAAAAAAAAAAGTTGGGCGATGAGAATGGAACATATATAGGATCGCTTGAACTAAATGTGGGTAAGCACATTAAACTTTTTAAAAATGTTTGCTATCTTATTGCACAACTTTCGCGCGAAATCTAGCGCTCAAGATTTTTTTAAAAAAAAATTGTTAATGTTAAAGTAAGACCATTTTAATTATTCACTTTTTTAATCACTATACAAGCTCGACCATAAATCAATTTCTATAAGTTTTTATTTTTTTTAAAAAAAAAGAAGGAAAAAAAATCTACGATAAGTATCATTTCAGTCGTCAAGACACAGACATTATTCATTTAGGAAGAGATGACCATGCGTATTGGAGGTTAAACACTGGTTGTCTACCAAGTCTGCCAATGAAATATTATTTCAAGATGTAGTATCTGGGGATGCTTCTGGTTAGGATGAAAAATGGTTTGTCTTTGAAGATGAACAAAGAGAAAAGAATCATTTTTTTAAGGGGCAAAAGGCTAAGGGCTCTAAGGATGGCATTGAGAGACCCCAAATTAATGCTTGTTAAGAGGCATATTTGCATTGTGCCAATTCAAAACTGCAGATTAAGACCATGTTTTTTATTTTTTTTGGGAGCGGGTATAGTATTTGTTGTAACTTATTAGGCCATTTTTTTGTTATATTCATGGTAAGTGCAATGTCCTAGTATGCCTGTTCTGTAGGACAGATAACTTCTATTTGTACCAAATATTTTAATGGAACTCAAACTGGCATCTAATGCCCTGTATTTGATTCTTTAGTACCCTAGTGACATCTGCTGATGCTGTGAGATTTTATAGATACCTCACTAATGAATTGAAAATGTACGTTAATTTCAAATCTCCAAAACAATCTAATAATACTAGGAAGGTTATAGTGACAAATAAAATCCAACGATAAGCAATATCTTAATATAAACTCATTTCCATGCATATCCCATCATGGAACCAATTCAATAGCCAAACAGTCCACTCCTGACAATCGGTTGAGGTTTATTGTAGTTCTAACCCTAAAATGAAGAATGAAACGATCAAAACCCAACATATAAGATCATATCATTAGTATATCATATTTTCTCAAGAAATTTCAAAACTTTACTCTAGAAAATAGATAATAATATTGTTATAAAATTAATGATAAACTACTATATGAACTAAGTATAAGAACATGAGACAGAAGACAAGAGAATCGAGAGAGATGAGAGACTTGTATTGAGATCTCTTTTGAAGCATGAATGAATCCCTATATATACAATAAGTAGGGGATCAAACTGTGGGAAATAAATTACCTATCATTAATGCTAAATATTACAGAATCATATCTCTCTGATTATGAATAGAATAACACATATTAATTGTAGACGTTCAATCAAATATTTCATAACACTCCCCCTTTTACTGTTCATCTTTGTGCAATAATTCCTCATTAAAACCTTAATAGGAAAAATCCTTTGGGATAAAACCTTAGTGAAGGAAAAAGAGTACGCTACAAAATGCAACGCTGTCTCGTTAAAAACCTTGTCAGGAAAACCCGTTGGGACAAAACCTCGATCAAGGGAAAAAGAATACAACGTGGGGTTACTCCTCCTGTTGAGTACGTCACTTGTGGCTTTTCGCTGCGCGCTAAGATGCTTGCTAGTTTTGGCACTGTAGAAATTGATCACAGATAGAATTTCGAAATAATCACCTCAGCTTCTCATGTAGATGGTCATCTTCATATACCATATGTAATATTGTGTGCTTTATAATAATCGAGATGCATGACCATCATACCTTGAAGGTATCAATATACAACATCCAAGTCTTGACTAA